TAAGCTTGTCAATGATCTAATGTTATCCATGTATACATATGTACGACTGATAATGTGGTGACCACTGGCACACCACTATTACCCGTACAAGCATGTTAATTTTACACAACCTGTGCAAACACGCCTGACAATCTCTAACCTGACAATGAATGAACTACCTGAGATTTTGTGTCTAGAATTGCGACCCTTATTAACGCTACCATTGCTTGCTTAGCAAATACTAAAAGCTTGCTCACTTTATTATATTTCAACAAGTAACTTACTTACTATACCATATGCTAAAGTGTACCTAACTATGTCAGTTGAATAGCCAGCCTAGCATGTTTACTATAAAATACTAATGTCGCATAGCCTATGATCGTCATGTCATTTATAAAAAAAAATGTGCTGTTTAAACTGCCACACTTTACAATGCTATGAAAATGCCTGCAGCTGCTGTTGTGGCTCTGCACGCTTGTTGTTATTTGACGCACAAATAAAATAAAGAATTATAATCTGATCATGTTTTAGATTCAGGGATGGTGATGTCATCTGTGCGTTTATTCCCCATAATAACTGTGTAATAATGAAAATGTCAGCTCTCTGCAATCTTCAAGCACTAATCCCTTACACACTGCGATACACATTAAGCCCAACTTTATGCTAACACATTACTACATCACTACAATTAAATATAACCTAAGGGATAACGGGCATTAAAGGAACACTATAGAGTTGGTGATCCAAACCTGTATTCCTCACATTATAGTGCTCTCCTCTGCATGTAATTTAAGGTCCCCCAAAACATGGGGGGGAAGGGTTTTTACTCCCCTTTTTCCCCCACAATCCACTAAGCTGCTCGATCGGCCTTTCCCATTATGTCACACTAACTCTTCTTTCATCCATTCCAATGCTCCTCTATGAGAAGCATTGGGGGACGAAAAGTGCATGCGCGGCTAGCGCTGCGTTCCTCCAATGAAATAGAGGTTAGCTTTGAGAACAGATTGTGACTCAGCTCTCCAAGTAGAAGGTGTATTAATAACCTGCAATGTATCTACTAAACGACAATGTTTTACATTCCAAGGTTAAAACTAAACAACAACTGCACCAAGACCACTTCATTGAGATAAAGTGGTCTGTGTGGCTTTAGCACTCCTTTAAAAAAAAAAAAATGTATATCTTATTATAATTTTTCTTATAACATGTCCATCATATATTGACATTTTTAAGAAATCTTAATCTTACCTTTCTGACTGCCATCGTTACGCACCTTTAGTCGGGAAGCCATTTATAACAGCCGATGCTCGCGATATGTCAGCATTCCGTTCCTTTTCCGATTTCCCTGACAGACTATGCTGCAGGCAGAAAGCGTACATGATTTTGTAAAGCAACAGACAGTTACAAAATAATGTGCAGTGATTGTAATAACTGACAGTTTGACCCAAGGTGCATAAAGATGGCTGTCGGAAAGGTAGGCAAGGGGTTTGTAAGCCTTTCTGCACCGCAGGGGAGGGGGTAAGGCAGGCACTATAGGGAGCAACGGAGCCAAAAAAAAAACTTTGTTTTCCTGACACTATAGTTTCCCTTTAACCCCTTAAGGACCAAACTTCTGGAATAAAAGGGAATCATGACATGTTACACATGTCATGTGTCCTTAAGGGGTTAAACAAATTGCTTCATTTTTCAATGAATACGTTCAGCCCGCAAAGAAACCCATTCTAGGCTTTTTTTTTTTTTTTAAACTGACCAATCCATTTAAAAAGACATCAAGATAGGTTCAATGCCATTCGGCGACAAACAAACTGATTTGTAGTCTTCGATTTGGACATTATTTTTCTCCTGTCTCTGACTCTTAGCTTGAAGTGATACTTTGTATAAATTGAAATTCTGAATGATTTGATCACAGGTACGATATTACACTGACAGCTATGTGGCCCTTTACTTAAACCTTTTGTTTATTATTCTTTATAGACAGAACTGATCATCTGATCACCGTTCAAGCCTTTTCTTTTTTTTTTTTTATTGTATATAATGTAGAGATTTTTTTTATATATAATTTTGATCTAAATCTACCACAGATTATTATAATTAGATTGAAGATATAGAGATTCCACACACCACAGATCAATTATAATAATGTTCAGATTAATGTCTTACTAGTGCTATGGTTACATTGATTGGTGACTTTATTGATCTTAATGGATCTAATAAAGGTTACATTTTAGACTTAAATGGCTAGTATTTCTTTGTTTTTCTTAATTACTTTGAATTTTATTATTTGCAGAGCATCTCTATAATATTACTTTTGTTGAAGTTCACATATATAGTTAGCTTAAATTTTGCATTTTTGGTTGCAACTCCGTTTAGTGAATAAAACAAACCAACACAGATTACAAACTGCGTTCTGTCTGAGCCGGTGATCGTTCACTTCAGCACCACAGATGTTTCAGCACTACATTTCCCATGATGCTCTGTAGTGTAGATAGCAAATCTCCCTGAGCATCATGGGGATTTTAGTTATGAAACATCCAGCCTGTTAATGTAACCCATTATTTTTCTATACTTTCTGCAAAGTCAGACTGTGTATTTTCAGATATAACTATATAACTATAATATATATAACTATCTGAATTTCTAATGCTCTCTAACTGCTTAAAGGGAAACTATAGTCACCAGAATCATTACAGCTTATTGTGGTTGAGGTGTCTATAGCCTGTTTTTCAGTTGCCAACACTGCCTTTTCAGAGAAACAACTCTAGGTGCAGTCACTCAGACGGCCACTGGAGGTGCTTCCTAGTCCATGGAGGCGCTGAACAGTTCCAAAATGATTCAATGCATCGCTATGAGTACATGATGATTGGCGCCACGTTTTTGCTGCACATGCGCAGTTGCATTGCATGAAATGTCCTGTTTATTTTACTTTGGGGTCACCTGATTCCCCCCTCCCCCTTGGACTGGCAGGGATCATTCCAGTCCACCTTGGAACCCTACCGTCGGCTACTATAGTCGGAGCACTCGCATAACTTTAAGATGGCTGCTGAGTCTGTTATACCTCCTAGAAATATTTAGGGATGGCAGCTTCCCTTAGTGTCTTTAACGCCCTATGTGAGCGATATTGGGCTCCTTGGCTGGCCAGAATGCCTACGTGGTGGACTGGCTACATAATCCCTATTTATTTTGAACGTGCTACAGTGTTTTAACTATAATGTTCTTGCCTTTCGTAAAATGTGCAGTTGCAATGATTTGCTTATTGTGATAACTTTTATTACTTTACATATTGTCATTGTGATAATGCTATGTTTTCTCATTAATGTGTATCTTACGTGTATCTGACTTCTTATCTGTAAGTGTGCAAAAAAATAAATATATATATATATATACTGATTATCTTACACTTAGCTAGGTTTAATATAAAAAAATAAGATGATGAAGCGTATGTTTAACCCCCTTCGTGCAAAACGCTAACCAATCTTGTTGTTATTTTTATGATTCCTCCTAAAACCCATTACAAATATACAAATATTACTTAGAAATGTGAACAGTTGTTTGTTTTTGTTAGTTTGTTGGGTTTTTTTTTTGGGGGGGGGGAGTATTCTTATTCTCCTCTAATTACACAGATAGGGCAATATAACTACCCATACAAAGTATTTACTAAACTCCTACTGGTAGAGAATAAAATCCAATATGCAACATTTAGGCAAAAGTAGCTGATCTTGAAAAATTCTCCATCTAATGACTCAACTTGACTATTCTGATTAGATTTTAGAACCAAATAAAACACTGAAACATACATGTGAGACCTTGGCATTGGACACATATGTAGTGATTTATTTATTTATTTAAATTCAGGGATCAACAAAATGTCCAGTTTTTCTTTATGTAACATAAAATGGTTTTATATGCAATATTTTGTAATGCAAAATGTATTTATTTGTTTTGGTTTGTTTTTGTGTGTTTGCGGGTAAGCTGTATGGATTTGATTTTCATAATGTGTGCTATTAAGAGATCCCTACTCATATATACTTGACCCAGGGAGCAGCATGGATGTTTGAATGCAACAATGGTACTTAAACAAGAAGACCCTATTGTGTAGCCCATTCTAGAATTCTAGCAATTTTAATTAATGAAATTACATTATTTAAACACTTCTCTAATTTGTATTAATTAGCAGAGGCACTGATCAACACATTTTGGCATAAGAATACAATTTAAATCTGTATGCTTCCAAGTTAATACACAAATGGTAATCTATAATGCACCATAATATGAAAGAATTAAAACCTAATTTAATACATTTTGAGCAAAAAAATATAAAATTGTTATTATTCAGACAATGCAGCTCAACAAAAATAATGACAGGATTTAGTGCTCCTTTATTACAAGCGTGCTTAATACTTTGTATAATAAAAAATCCTGTTGAGTTGAGTATCATAAAGAACAAAATTGTATGTCATTCAATAAATAAATCATGGATTTAAAAACCCCAGGAGCTTTCTTCACTAAGCATATTTTTATTTATATTTTTGTTTATATTTTTTTTTATTATATTATAATGTTTTTTTCATGTAGCTTTCTGTTGAGAAAATATATTTAATCTTCAGTATATAAACCATCTAATATTTATATATTTTAACTCTTGCGAATAAACCGCTCGATGTTATGATGATAAACACTCAACTGGAGCCAATTAAAAATCCAAATGGCAAAATTCAGTATAAAAATAGCGAAGCAGTGACTATAGCGGAGTTGTCATTTTTTTTTCTGCTAGTTTAACCTATTTTTTGCCAGATTTCAATTCACTACAATTCAGAGTTCAGTAATTAAACCCCTTAGGATTTCTTTTGGGGGAAAAATAGCTTTGATTTCTTTTTTTTTTTTTTTCATACTACAAAAATAAAATGTGAATTTTTCAAAATTAACAAGGACATTGCAAATATTAGGGATACTCACTACCCCTTGTTTCTGAACGTCAAACTTTTTTGTCTCATGCACCTATTGTACAGCGCTTCAGAACATGTTGGCGCTTTATAAATAATAATATAGGGAAGCTGAAAAAAATTACTTATTTGCAGACATTTACCAATTTTACTATTTTTAGCTGAAATCTAAGTCCCCTTATTAGTTCTACACAATGTTTAGCGAATAAGTCGTTTTCACATCAGTTTGAAACAAACCCTTAAAACAATATCTCATTGATTTGTCAATCACTTATTTTATGAAAAACTGAACAAGTTTTAAAACAAAGGCAAAAGTCTCAATAATGCATTGCAGATAGACAGAACCTTTGGTTTATTTACTTATAAGCATAAAACAATACTTTTTTCTTTTTTTTGGTCAAATTAGCTTAATTAATTTTCATGCCTGAATTTATCACAAGAAGTGCACAACCCTCTCAATCAGAGATTAGATTTACTCTTCAATCACCTAAATAAATATTTAATATGCAAACAAATTAAGGACAACCATATAATATTTGATATAAATTAATGAGTTATTGGATCCATGTTGCTTTTGGTTTAATGCTTTTTACTGTTAGGCTAATGAAGAGAAAAGGATTTTGCAAAAAAAAAAAATTCAAAATAGTTATTACATTGCCACTTATGCAACATACTTGTCTGCACATATCATATACAATAAGTACACACACAATGCAAGAGAATGCAATTCTAACAGCCAGGTACAATGGGGATTTGTGGTATATCCTGTCTGCCTTGAGGTGAGTGACACTTGCTCATGTGTAAGGTAAGTCCTGGGGCACTGAAGAAAGCAGTGGGGCACAGTTCACAGGGGAAGATTTGCTGCCCCCCTTCTGCCAGCATTGCCTCTTCTAGAGGGATCAGGAGTTCCTCTCTAACTGCATGCCACAGTCTGTGCTTATCCCTAATGTCAATGGAGGGGAAATGTACCCCACAGAGGGTGCAAGGGTAGGTGTGTTGCCCCCTCTCCAGTGGGTTGAATGGCTGATGAGAGAGCAGGTGTTTGCGAAGATAAGCATGCCTGCGAAATCTCTTGTGGCAATAGGGGCAGTCAAATACCTCTTCCTCTGCATCTTCAGGGGTGCTGTGAGTCATGGGAGTCTGATTGTCCTCTCTGGTTTGGTAGGAGCTGTTCCCAGTGCTCAGGTGCTGATGGTCTGCTTGATGTGGCTGGGAGCTGTCCATTGCTGGCTGGTGCTGAACCCCTGATCGCTGAGCCTGGGGCTCTACCAGGCTACTGTTTTCTTTGCCCTCTATTGGGGCTTGCAGCTTTTTACCTGCTGGTCCATCTGGTGCCATGGACCTGGGCTTGTGCCATCTCCTGTGGGAAGCCAGGTTGGCTGGGCAGCTGAATATCTTATCACATTCAGGGCATCTATATTCAACACGAACAATTCTGGAGCACTTGTGCTGGGCTAAAGCAAAGGGGTCAGGGTATCTCTCCTTGCAAAGTTGGCAGATAAACTCCCCCAGAGGGGGGCGCTTGACCTGGTTGCCCCTGGATTTGCCATCTGGTTCCTCAGCCTTGATCTTCAGTCCCAGCACTGGAGAAGTGGTGACTTCATCGGTAAAGTGTAGCTTTCTGCTGACTTTGATTTTCTTGGACTGGAGCTTGTTGGACCTTGGACTCTCCTTGGGACTCAGATTAGTCTGCAACTTTGTATCAGGCGTCAGGAAGGGGTGGACAAAAAGCTTCTCCATGGAAGCAAATGTATCTGGAGCAGGGAAGGAGTCTGCAGAAGCTGGAGAGCTCACATATCTCTTGAAGAAAGTTTTCTTCATTTCCAGATCCACAGGTTTCACTGGGCTGTAGGGTAGTGGTTTCCAGGGAGGTCCAGTCTGTTCCATTCTAGGTTGAACCTTGATGGGAGATATATTAGAGGTTGACTGAGAAGCTCCATCAAACATATTTGGTTCCTGCTGTGTTTTGTCTCTTTCAATAGTCCCTGTCACAGCCAAAGTGGATGTATATGGTGTCAGGACATCTAGAACTGAAGAGTAGGACACTGGATGAACAGGTCCAGTCTGATCACAAGGAATCCTGTAGGACCCACACCCTTTCCTGTGCCTCTTCACCAAGAACCCTCTTGGCATGTTGGCAATTTGCAGACAAGGATTTGTATCCTTAGAACAATGGATGAAACGGCTTGAGAGCACCAATAGTGATGAGCAGATGGGTGAGTGAACAGAGGATCAGAAGACATGGGGTAAAACAAGCATCTGTATTCAGAGAGCATCCAATTTATAGCAAATCCACCCATCCATCTATAAGTAAATGCTATTTACCAATCACAAGTTGATGCAGAGCTGAGGGGTGTGTATCTCTGGGAATAGAAGCCCCTGTTGGTTTGACAGGGACAATGAGTGAAAAGGATGGGTTGGATAAGACACAGCCTGAGTACACATATTAAAACAGGTTAATTATTGAGTCTGTAGAGGGTTCTAAACGCTTTTGTGCCTTAGCTTGGCATTAACCTATAATTGCATTTAACCCTGAGGGTACTGGGAGGATTTCAGTAATAAAACCTCTTGCATCAATTTTTTTTTTTTTTTACCAGCATGCAGGGGCTGCAAGTGCAGTGAGATTAATAGCATTCAATTGTCACCTACTACTGAGATTAAATGAATCAGGGGATGGTTTATTTATTCATACACTGTTAATCTTTTTAAACATGTCTGTTCTACTGTTTATGTAACTGTTTGTGATGCAATCAGGGTGATTTAACTGTTAAGTCATCCGACAGCCAATATATACCGAATGATTCTTATCTGCTAACAATTCAACTTGAATTTTCAGTATCAATTGACCTATTTCAGTATTGATGGTTAGTGCCGGGTTATATAATATGTATATGTGATTATATCGTATAAATATTTTTTTTAAATACAATTTAGGCAAATTTGGGCTGTTAGAGTAGAGATCCTACTGATCACACTTTACTTGGGTTGATTCACTAAGCATCAAATGGTGGTGAATTAAAAATTAAATTGCAAAAGTAAGCCAAAAAGAGCCAAGCTGTGACTGCAGCAGAGGTTTTGGTAACTTTTCCAAATCCTCAATTTTTAGCAGAGATCGCAATTTTATTTTCGCTTTAGAAGAATTCAGTATTTACAGGTTTATTTGCTAAAATGAGAATTGAAAGAGACTTTAGAATTTAATCTCCGTATCCTGGGGGTCTATTCACTAAACACCAAATTGTAGCATATTGAAAAATCTATAAAATAACCAAACTGTTACCAGGGATGGATTTAACCTCCTTAATGCCCCCAGGACCAGTGTCCTCAATGCACAAAGTTATACAACTAGTTTGGGGTGTGATTGATTAGTGAATGTGACTAGCTGGGTGGTTGGATGATAAGTGGGGCAGAGCTGGGAGAGGGTATATCTATGTTTGTGAAGGCTGTGGTGGTGTATGTTTGTGGGAACGATGCTTGTAGGATGGTTTATTGCGTTGCATTTTGGCCTGTAGTGGGAAAATAAGGGCTATAGTGGGAGGATAAGTGTAATAATGCAGTGCTGCGGAATTTGTTGCCACTGTATAAATAATAGTGGAGTGAAAGAGGACTGTAGTGGGGGTATAGAGACAATATTGTTGGGATAGGGGCTATTGTGGAGTGGATAGCGGCTGCAGTGGGAGACAGTGGCTATAGTTGGTAGATAGGGACTCTACTGGGGACAGTGGCTGTAGTGAGTGGATAGGGGCTGTACTGCGGACAGTGGCTGTAGTGGGCGGATAGGGGGCATAAGTTGACATTATTTGAAGAAAAAAAAACTAAGCTTAAAAGTATTCCACCCTCCATGTGGCTAACTTTGGGCTAGGAGGGGGGATCCTGATCTGTGGTGGTCCAGAGGGAGATGTAGCAATTCTGCACCCCCATTGGATACAGACAGCTCCTTCTGGCCAGAGCTGTGAAATGTATCAGAGCAATGCCGTGGTGACCCATGGCAATGCTCTAATACAGTGCAAGTGAGAGACCACAATTCCAGTCTTTCTATTACAGCGCCGCCCTGCAGGTGCCACAACAGGAGAATGGGCTCGCCAGTGGGGGGCCGTGACCTTGTGGGCAGTCTTTTCCAAAACAGCTATTTCTTGTTTATATGTTGCAGTCATTTAAGTTTACAAACAATGTACAACATTTACATAGGTACCGCAGCAGTCACATCAAACTACAAGTGTGTGTATAAAAATATATAACTATGCATTATTGTACATATTACTTAGCATGGGGCAGTGCCAGAGAACATCAATGGCATCAAAACTGGGTGATTAAAAAATTACCTTTGTCCAATCCAATGTCTCTCACAAAGATGCTTTGGAGAAATGTGGCGCATGGGCAGCAATTGCCATAATCTGCCAATCGGTTGCCTCTCACATAAGAAGTTTTAAGGGCATGTAGGGTCACGACGCAGACCGTGATAATTCTTACTATAAATACTTTCTATTTTCAAAGGTCTTTAGTAGGAAAATCCTGCAATAACACACTGACTGAAAGCCACTAGAGACATGGCTTTGGGCAAATGTGAACATGAAAATAGGGCCAGGATCTATCTACCAAAACCACTTCATTAAGCTTAAATGGTTTTGGTGCTTGTAGTGTCCCTTTAACACATTTCTATTTTTCTCATGGGTTTCTTGGATTTAACATATATTTCCACTTTAGGCACACTGCGTCTCCTTGAATTATGCAACTTACCGGTGTGGAAATCAGGGAAAGTTGATGGCAATCTGATGTGTGTCTTAAAGGAACACTATTGTGTTATGAATGTAAACAAGTATTCCTAACACTATAGTGACCTGCTAACTATTTGGGTTACTCCCTGTCCCCTCCCCATTTAAAGTAGAAAGGTACGTTTACCTACCTTTCTTCTATCGTCGTGCTGTGCAATCTTCATGGCTCATTCTTGATTATCTCAGCCAATCCAATGCACGGGGAGACTATTGCACATGGTCACTGCAAAAGCTGTAAAGCCTTAGAATTTACAACAAACTCTGGAACTTTTTTATTTTGAATTTCGTTATTTTGTGTTACCTATTAATCCATTATATGTATAATTAAAACAGGGGTATCAGAAGTCCATTAATACGCTGAATCTGCCTGAGAAGAAAGACACTAGATTAGTAGTTTTATTACTTACTATTATTTTTTTTATTTATTAGTTAAAACATTTGTTGATAACCTCATTTACAAAATGCATGGGTAAAATAATGATGGACATCGAACGTGCAAATTCACAAAACAGTCGGCGACAGAACAGGAAATACAAATTGGCCTGCAAAATAATATTTGGTTAACAGATGTCATTGCCTGTGGCTGTGACAGTAACAT